ATTTTTCTGTCTTTCCTGGCATTTTTAGCTACTGATTAATGTAGAGTCCTAGGTGTTAGAATGACTTGGAAAGATCGATAAGAATATTAACCCTTATGAAAAGGTTTGCTATGAGAAGAGATTGTAGCTCAGAGTCTTGGATGGAAAACAATCAAAGGTTAGAGTTTTGTGGGTATCAGCTCTATTGGCAGGGAGTGGGGGTGGGGCAAACTTTCTGGCTAGTCTGATCTTCAGTATTTCCTCAGAACTCTTGCTTTCTCCTGGTCTAAGGGAGATAGCAATCCCCTCCTGTAACATGTCACCATCAGGAGGGAGGGGAAACAGTAGGGTTGACAACCACAGCTAGGCAACAGTATCGGGTATAATAGCACCCTCCCCCAACACCCTCCCGGCCAGGCAGACTAATTGTGCACCCCCTCCCAGCTCTGTCCTATTAAGAACACCCCTTGTCTCTCAGGCCGCAGTTGGTCGTGAGGATTAACCCCTCCCACCCCCTCACCCCACCATCCAGGCATCCCCCTCCTTCCAACAGTCCTCTGGGCAGACATGACTGACAAGAGTACCACAGGCGATGATGTCACAAAGAGAGGGGGCAGTGTGCCCTGTTAGACCATCTTTCACTCCAGTGGACTCGCCTTCACAGACAAATTGATTTGCAAAGGTTCAGGCTGCCAGCCCGGCCTGCTTTGCATACAGAACGCTCCCTGGTGACACAATAAAAAGTGGCCAGGCTAACAGAGGAGCACAGCGGGGTCTGGCCGGTTCAAAGTCCAAACTCCACACCCCCTCACCTCAGTCTGGTTTGAAAGGTCACTGTGTGTCTGGGAAAATAGTCGCAGGATACAATCCTTTATTAAAGGTCACTATTTTTCAACAGCACTTAACACACACTTACACACAAATTGAGACTGGAGAGGGAAAAAAAACTGGGGGCTGCATCGTATTGTATATTGTGCTTGCAAGATTTATGTCTTGTGGTCACCAGCAATAAACACACACTGCTTCAGTATTAAAGTTCACATTAATCCACTGATTCCCCCTCCCCTGGAAATCAGCCTCTTCTTTGCCGGGTAGACAGGGGCAACCAGGACTTTTGTTCATCCCTTTTGTTCCTTCCCCATCTTTCCCTTCCCTGGTTGCGAATGTTTTGCTTTTGCGAGTTTTTATTAAAATAATTGTTGGCATTGTTATTATTGATGTGCAGCCACAGAACTGTACTCTTGGTAGTTTCCTCTCTTGCACTGTTCATGACGTGTGCCTGGCATTTGAATCCAAAACCGTGCATGATCACCACGCTCAAGACTCAGAGTGTGTGTCTGTAGAACTGAATGTGTCACAGACCTTGAGAAGCAAAAGTCAAGTTCCTTCCTGTGCTGCTTGTGAAAATCCAGGGGAGCACACTGATGCTAAGCCAGTGACCATAAAGCCATCAAGGAGACTGCCAGTCCTGCCTATCCATTCTGTTGTGTATTTTATTTGAGGAAATGCTTCCAATACAAGCAAAAATAGCAATTGTGTTTTCCTCCAGTAACAGTTCATGTTTGGTTCCCAAAGAATGTTAACAATAGCAATCCCTGCCTTCATAACAAAAGAGATTATCAAAGAAGTCGGCCCAAGCTGTTAGATTAATTTAGGCAAGAATTGCAAAAGAAAATATTTAGGGGAAATTCTATGAATTTCAAATAGCCGGCAAACTATATAATGTTGAGGATTCCACTCTGCTCTGTAGCACATTTTTGCAAAGCTTTTGCCAGTGATAGGTTTCTGAGCTATCAAAAGCACATTAATTTTTTCTGATTAAAACAGCTGTGAAAATATACAAGTGTAACTGTGAAAAATCCAGGGCTTATTGTAATACTTTAAGCAAAACAAGGATAAAATATTTTTAAATATGGACTTGCCAAAAGTAAAATATCTAACACGGGGAGAACTAATTCTGCGTGTGCTTCTAATATTTTGGCATAAATACTTTAATCCTCTTGTCCATCCTGTTGGCACCTCATCTACAGTTGACTTGTTAAGGGCTAGTTCCTTTGTAATGTCGTCAGCACCTCTCCATAGTTATTGACTGTGCTCTCATTAAAACCGGCAGAAGTGAGAAGAGGTGGGGAGGAAGCTGGTTCCTCACTACAAAGGTATTCAGAAAGGCAAAAGAACCTAAAGGAGAAACGAAAAAACATGAAAAAACACGACAGAAGTGAAACTGTCTGACCAGGAGGAGGAGGAGGAGGAGAGGGGAGGAGGGAGGAGGGAGGAGGGAAGAAGAGGATGAGGATGCAGAAGGAGAAAGAAAGAGGTGAGGAGGGAGGAGGAGGGAGGAGGACGGAGAGGAGGAAGAGGGAGCAAGAGGAGGAGGAGAAGGGTGGTGAGGAGGAAGAGACTTCTGGAGGTGGGGATGGAGTTTGGTAACCCTGCTTTCGTGATTTTGTTTGTTCTAAAAATATACAGGTAATCACAAAGACCCATTTCAAGCTTCTTATCATGTTCACCCAGAGTTATGCCACAATATGGCACCTAAATGCAGAGCACACATTCATAGCCAATTCCAACTTGTCTTTTTCTCATTATTTAAAATAAATCCTTTTTGGAGGAAGAAGACAATTTCTCTTGCCTGTGTCCCTGATTTGGGCTTGGGTGGTAATGATTTATTTCACTGTGGACCCAGACTCTTCATTCCCTAATCTACTACCTTGAAAGGGGTGACCTCACGAATAAAATCACTGTGTGATTCAAAGGAGGGGGGGGGGGTACATGCTTAATCAAAACAAGGTGCCTTTTGAGGAGAACCACCCAAACTTCAGCTTCTCAATGCCAAAGACAACATAAAGATTGAGAAAAGAGAAAAGAAAAGGGGAGAGAAAAAAAGACATCCTCTTTCCTCTCCCCGCGGACTGGAGGCCTAATACAGGATGGAGCTGTATGCTGACCCTCTGCTGATTCCCATTCAGACAGGAGTTCTGGCACTGGAACTCCAGATCAGACGGTAAGGTCACCGCCACGTGATACCCATGCCCAATGTAGAGCCCAAACCCAGCATTCCCCTGCCTCCGAGGCAGCAGGCAGAGACACAAACACCCCTCCCCTCAAAGCCACCAGGCCCACAGTCCCACCATAAACATAAGTGCCTGGGATTCCAACCTAGAGCCCCTAATGTGTTCAAAGGCAGCACTAATGCATAAAACGTCTGGCCTCAGCTGAGGCATCGCATCAGTCTCTGCAAATGAGGCTTTTCGGACAGCAAAGGATGAAGAGCCAGATTCTGAGAGGGTTTGGGAATTGCTGAGCCAGGATGATCCTTCTCTCCCCTCTTCTTGACTCTCCCTCCCTCTGGTCTCCACCCTTTTCCCCTCCCCAGCCAGGTGATTAATTCCAGGCCCCAAGAGGGTTTCTAAAGGGATCTACGATCGCTGCAGTGACACCCAGTGCTAAAGGAGAGAGAAACAAGCAGAGACTCCTCTGGTGCCAGCTGCGGCCAGAAGCCAGCAAGACCCTTCCGGCCAGGCTGAGTGTGCCCTGATCCCTAGGCAACTGGGCACTCTGCCCCCCCAAGATGGGGTGCTGAGGCCACACTCCAGCCACAGTCTTGGGGTTTGAGGATGCCCTTTACCCCCAGAAGTTCTCCCAGCACCTTTACACAGCTCAGTGGTGCCCTCCAGCCCTGTCTTCTTCCTCTGCATCCTGGTTCAGCCTCCTGTCCAAGACCACACCACTCACACCTATCTCTGCATCCTATCGCACCCACCCCACCCATCCCCAGGAAATCTATGGTCACACACCCATAGGTACTACCCATTCAGGAACTTTCCAGCGAAACAGCGCCTCTCACTTACTGTAAGAAGGACTTGTCCAGATCCTTCAAGCCCTTGAGATTGTCTTTCCAGGTGGGTAGAGTCTGGCTAATGCAAAGGCCTCCCATGGCACAGTAGACCTCCAGGCTGAAGCACTAGCATCACTTTTCTCCAAGACTCATGAGTTTGGGACATTTTAGTTTTTCCTGGTTTTGCAGGCCCCAAAGAGAAACGTCCCAGATATTTTCTTACCATTGCATTGTTCAAGCCTACAATGATTATGCGGAAGTGTGTGCACATGTATGGGTGTTGGTGCAAATCACACTGGAGGAAACACTGGTGCAGTCATCCCCTGATCACAGGGGATGTCTCAGTCCCCACAGACTGAAGATAGGCAGTTTTGTATCAGTGTGCCCAGAATGCCAGCTCCATGAGGACGGGGATTTTTGTCTGTTTTGTATACCGCTTAGCCCCAGCACCCAAAGCAGCACTGGCTCAACAGTCCACGCTCAATAAATATTTATGGAAAAATTTTACATGCTGAAGAATTTGAGTGTGTGACTCGGTGGTTTCTGACATTTCTTTTCTTTTTCACTGATTAAAAGAAAAATCAGCAGGGTAGGAGATCAACAAGATCCTTTTTGCTTTTTGGTGTGTGTGTGCACATGTCTTGGGGTGGGCAATGGAGGTTAGTATCTCTATGTGTTTGTTTGTTTGTTTGTTTTCCCTTTGCTATGTCTGGTCCAATCCTTCCACTTCTTTGCTGCCTGGGTCATGCACCTGAGTTCTGTTATAATAGTAATTACAATGGTTTTGACAGCCTTAAGAGTATAGTTTGGAAAGCAGCTGTCACAGAAATTAGCAAGTTTTGCCAACAGCTCAGCTCTGAGGTGATGGGAGCCCAGGCCGGGACAGGAGGAGTTAACTGAGATGAGTGGGGTGTTATGCAAAGCACCAAATCCCTAAACTCCCGCAAAGATCTTTGATGGCCGTGATCAATAGATTCTCAGACCACACTGACATAACCTTGTCATGCCTCAGCAAGGGTACAGTGGCTAAAAAGGGGTGGGGAGGTGGAAAGGTGGGAGGAGAGCGGGGAGAAAGAAAAAACAGGGAAAGGGACAGAGATATCATATGCCCTCCCCTCTCCTGCACCCCCAGAGCCCCTCCTTTCCACACCTACCCCCTCTTCAACAAGCATCACACAGCAAGTGACTGGTAATGGTTCTTTGGCCTTGTACAGCTTTTAAAATCCTTCAGCTGAAGCATCTCAGCTCCAATCGCCAGCAAAGCTTGAGCACCCTTGAGACCCTGGTGCAGATAATCATCATCCACTCAGTGACAAGAAGCTGAGCGCCGCTTCGGTACCAAGGAGACCGAATGTGGCAGGGCACCAAGGTGCCATCTTAGACGCGTCCAAACAGCCGCGGTGGCGGTGGCAGCAGCGACACACAGGGGTGTGCATGTGTGTGCAAGTTGTTGTTTCTTCCCCCTTTTCTTCTTCTTCTGTATCTTCTTCTCCCTCCTTCTTCACCCTCCTCAGAGAATCCTCTCTCGAGAGGGATGCTGTTAACACAGCTGCTCTTAGCAGGCTTCCCCGTTACCCAGCGCCTGCCAGACCAAATTGAATCCTGTAGTCAATACTGTTGGAAAGGAAAATGACATTAATTTGTGTAAAAGTGTAATCAAAAGGTGGTTGGGTGATTTTTCTTGCTTTCAGAGAAATGTGGGTTTGAGTTTATGATTATATAAGAGAGAGCCAGTCAGTCAGCGGCTTCCTGCCTTCCACCCAGCACTTCCCAAGTGCTCTTGCTGCCGTGTGACAGCATTAGAGTTAATGGTGTTGCATTATGTATACAATACGCTGTGGATGGTACAGCTGGCTGGGATGGTCCTGCGGACCAGGGTGCTGATGGGTATTTACATGCCAGCTGAAAGGTGGAAGAGACAAGATCCAGAAATAAAAGAAGAGCCATCCCTAACACGCACAGAACTCAGACCTCCAGCAGCTTGGAACAGCGGGGAAATTTCCAGATCGCAAGGGCCCCCGCGTTTATATTCCCTTTTCCACCTCAGGCCTTTGGCTCACATTTTCCATTCACAGAGCTCCCTGGCAAATTGAAGATGGTCTAAACAAGGAATACCACATCCCTTGCGCGTATTAAAAATAGCTCTCCAAACAGCCCGAAATATTTTCATTCCATTGTCAACTTTCCATCTCACACCTCAACAAGGGGCAGTGCTCAGAAGGAGACAGCTCCGGGCAATTGCCCTTTGCAGGTCTGCCTTTAGGGCCAAGTCACCAGGCCTGAAGCCCCTGCCCAGAAGCAGATCAATTTTACTATTAAGCAGTCATACAGAGGAGATGCAGGCACTGGAGGTTTGCGAAAGAAAAGACACTGTTCCATTCTCCACTCTGCGAGGACAGAGGTGGGCATTGCGTGGGCAGCTTTGCTATCCCCCAGGGGTGAATGAACATTAGGCACTGACCACTATGATGGAAGAGGTCATGGTAATGACGCCGGGGGCCTGGGAGAGTGGGAAAGGAAACCATCTTTGTCCTGAAAGTGTGGAAAGTTTGCCAGGAACCAAAGCAGGGGATTTTAGGATCCCAGAGAGCCTGACAAAAGAAAGCTGCATCTTTAAAAAAAGTTATTTAAGGGATTGGCCTTATTCGGGGGTGGGGACGGAGGAGTGGCAAGAAGGTAGGAGCCTTATGGGAAATCCCAGAGACAGCAGGGGTGGTCAGGGCCTCTCTACCCTCAGTCATCCTGACCCCATTAAAAAAAAGCTGCTCTATGTGCTGACCAAAATTTGAATTCACTTAATCAATTAATTCATTCAATAAAATCTGTTGATCACCTGCCATATGCCGGGCACTGTGCTAGATCCCGGGGATATAGCAGTGAACATAACTGACAAAAATGTCTGTCCACGAGGAACTTCCATACTATCCCTCCACGAAGGACAAGGATGCAGCCTTCCACAAGACAATGAGGGGTACAAGCAGTCTTGGGAAAGATAACCAAGGCATAAGTGATGGAGATCTGTGTTCTCTATGGAATTTTTATTGGGGGAGGGGAAAGAAGCACAGGATGCTAAGTTGAGAGGGAAGAAGAATGTGTGGGGGGGGGGGGGCTGGGCCAGCTGTGGAAGGAGGGAGGAAAGTACAAAAGCTGAAGGCACTGAGGCAAGATGCACCCAGTTTGCAATTTTGCTGATGATTAGCACTGGTAATGAAGAGGGGATCACGTAAATATCCATGGAGTGAAATGCCAAGATTCAGAGTTACTATTATATTTATATGAGGCAAAAAGCTGGCAAAAATCTCTGTTCAGCTGCCAATAAGCCTGCATTCCAAGGCCAGGTCTAGATGCAAAGCTGCAGGGCTCTCCAATATTCAGAGCAGTACAGAAACTGTCCCTAATGTCTAGGCAGCTGGACTCATCCTTCTACCCTGGGGCTTCCCACAAATCTCTGTAATACCCTAGGAGCCCAAGCATGTCAACCAGCACCCCATTCACCGAAGATCCAGCCATTTGAAAATAACAATTCTTTCCCTAAAATTCTGGTGTGCTGTTCAAAGTTATTGAAAAAAAACCTGACCTTCATCCTCAACCACCACAGTACCCACAAAAGCCATGGATTTCACTCAAGCCACAGGTCATGCTTTCCCCTGGTGTACAGAATCATTCAGAGTGCTTGAGTCATAGAAAAGCCTGCCTTGAGTCTGAATCATGTCGGAGCTTGTGTCTAGTCGCAGAGAGGAGTCCAGTCGGCTCCTCACCATCACACAATTTCCAGCCCTAACACAAAGTCATCGTCCTTTTCTTCAGTCCTGATTCCTTTACCCTCTACCTGCATCATGACATAAGACTTTGGCACTGTCTCATTTCTAGAAAGGTCTTTGCCCCAGTAGCTTGAAGTATCTCCAGTTTCCTTTTGTCACAAGAGAAAGAAAGAAAGAAAGAAAGAAAGAAAGAAAGAAAGAAAGAAGAAAGAAGCTTTCAAGTTACTTCATAGGAATCAAAATAGCATTCTCAAAATAAATAAATAAATCCCTTTATAATGTTATGTTTATTTGCACGTGTGCGCGCACACACACACACACACACACACACACACACACACACTCACTCACATGCAACCATCCCAAAACTATTGGCCTGAAAAACTGGCTATCCCACAGATGCCCCTTTCGACATAACTACATAAAAAGAGGTCAGGTCTCGGTCTGCAGCCCGAGCTCAGTCTGTGATCTGCCCAGGGTCACTAAAATAAAAGATAATCCAGAGAGCTGAAAGATCCAAAGTTACGCAGTGTGCACACCGCCTAGGGGTGCTGAAACAAGGTTGAAAATACAACCTGGTATGTAAGACGGCTGTGTGGGATATTAGATTGTGGCTGGCCCAGGGTGCTGAATGGCTCGCTGATATATTGGGTGTAGTTTGGTTGTGCAGAGAAACGAGCTGAAGAGAAAGACGCAAATACACAAAGGGAAAAAGAGACAGATAGAGAGATCTAGAATGAGACAAAGTGATGAGGGAGACAGAATGAGTGACAACAACACAAAGAGGCAGGGAAGACAAAGGCAATACCCTCTTTCCTTCAGTGTTCCCTGAGATTAGGCATGAAAGCAAAATGAATAAATCACCATCTTGGTTGGTGATATTGGAAACTTCTTTTCCTCCTTGAGGGGAAGGCAAGCGGATGGTGTCTTCTCTTTATCCAATTTTTAAACAGTCTGCAGGGAGCTGGGAGTGAAATGCAAACCAGGAAAAATAACAACAGCAATGGGAGGAAGAAAGGAATGGTGAATGGACTCTGAACCGACTGTGACAGTTGTGGGGTATCAAACTGTTGTGGTTTTAGGACTGATCTCTCCTTGCCAGTAGATTTTTTTCTCCCCCACCCCCCACCCCAAGCTTGTTCCCTTATGCCCTGCCTCATTGAACCTTAGACAATAGTGACCTCAGCATAGAGACATATATCCAGGCAGCCTCAGCCTGAGGCAGAGATCAGGATGCAAAGGGCAAAGGTTTGACCCTAAGAAAAATTTCTCATGGGGTCAGATCACACTGCCTGGCTGGAGGGATTTTTTTTTCTTGCCTGATATTGTTTTCTCTCTTCAAGTGACTGATTTTCCCAGCCAAATCTTTTACTCCTGTGCTTGCCTCTTTTGGATCTGGGTATACATATCTACCTCCTGCCACTTCCCATCGAGGCTATCACTTGTCACTTCTCCAAGTCTCAGCCTGGAGATGTGGCAATGCATCCAGGACCAGACTGCATATTAGCCCCCCTGTGACCTCCCACCTCCCACCCCTAGTCCCCACCCACCCCACACCCTCCTCAGGGTACCCAGCAACTCTCGCAAAACTGGCTGGCTACATATGGGCCAATGGGAAGGCATTTGTTAGTTGCAAATGTTCAAATTAACACTTACTCCTGTCTCTGAGTCTGCAGGGAAAACCAAGTCTGACTACTAATTACAGCTTTTGGGGGTGAAAATAAACAGAAGTGTGCCAAGTCAAGGCCTTTATGCAGAAAAGAAAAATGTCTTCATCTGGATGCCACATTTTGACATTTGAGGCCCAAGAGCTGGAAAGAGGAGCCTGGGGCTCAAGAGGAGCTATATCCTTCTCAGGGAGAAGCACTGTGTCTTCAGTTCTTGGCATTATACCCTGGGCATCAGAGTTCCAGGGCCATCTCACACATCTTTGTTGGTTATTTGGTAGTAGCAGAGTGGGGGAAGAAACTGTCCTAGGTATCAATGGAAGGTCAGTGGGAGCTGCAAGGGCCCCATCATGGCTGCCCTATATAGCTCGTCTCTTTCTGCCCTCTGAGCCCAGCATTCCCTCCATGGCACCAGACACAGCACAATTTCCCAGCCTTGC